CATCATCATGGTCAAGATTGACCTTCTTCTCAGTGAGGTGTACCTCTTGCACGCTAGGTGTTCGGTCTAGTGTCGCTTCCCCGGCGAGCGACACCCCCATGACATGCGCCATGAGCAGAGTTGGCTCTTCTTCTCCCTGCACCAAGTTTGCCTCTGCACGACGTTGGCGCCGCGGCTTGCGACATTGCCGTGAATAGTGACCAAATTCATCACAATTGAAACATTTCACCTTTGAAATATCCCGGCTACCGCTTCCGCCAGTGGCCGCCACCTTGCCCTTGGACGTCCGGCAGCTTTCGTCTTTCGGTTTTGCCCACCAGTCCCGCCGCGGCCCTTGCCACCACTGCCAGAGCCCTCCTGCTCCCGCTGCTTCACGCGTGCCTCCCACTGCTCTTCGGTGAGGTACAGCTTGCCGCCGCCGCTCACCTCCTCGTCGTCGCTGTACGAATCGATCATGGACAACCGCCCGACGAGCTCCTCCAAGGCCATGGTCTTGATATCGAGGAGTTGCTCGAGTGAGATTGCCACCGGCTTGTACTTCTTAGGGACAACACGCAGCAACTTCTAGTTAACATGTTCGTCCTCCATGACTCCGCCCATGTCACGGATGTCCGCGACGACGGCAGTGAGCCGCATCGCAAACTCCTCCGGCCTCTCTCCCTCCTTAAACCGCATCGATTCAAATTGTCGGCGAAACCCTTGCTCCTTGGCCTCACGCACGCGGTCGACACCGACCCGCATGGTCTTGATGGCATCCCACGCCGCCTTCGCCGTGTCGTGCTTCGCCAGCCCGCGCAACATCTCGCGCGGAACGGCCTGGAGTATGGCAGAGAGAGCCGCGTGATCCTCGCGGTTCTCCGCGTAGCCGGGGTCAATGGCCGTCCACAGCCCTTGTGCCTGAAGACTCACTCGCATCAGCAGTGCCCAGTCGGGGTAGTTCGTCCTCGTCAGCATCGGCAGCCTCGCAGTCGCGCCGCCATCTCTGGACAGCGGCACCAGCGGCATCGTCGCGCCGTTTGCGCTGCCGCTCCCCTGCTCGCCGCCGCTTCCGCCACTTCCACCACGCCTCGGTGGCGGAGTGTAGCGCCCATCCGACGACATCAAAAGCGGAACCGGAACCTCGCTCTAATACCAATTGTCAGCAAAAACCCCTCGCTTAGCTCTCGATCAGTGGCTAACCTACAATCTCTGAATATTTTTCAGACGTGAACAGTAACTGAAGAACTGAAACGAAGAACAGAGTTTTTTTTTTTTTTTTGGTGCTGCGTAACCACCTGCAGCTTTTCTGATTTCTCTTCAATTTTATTCCCTCATCTTGTGAGGTTGTTACATGCATAACAAACACCGATTTCACCGGATCCAAATGACTGAACGCGCCATCCCACGCTCCAGATCCAGTTCCATCGCTACTAACAGAAAAACGGGAAAAGCTCAGCTGCCCAAGACTGAAACTTCCTGGGACAGCCGTTACAATGCATGCAGCATCCTATGCCTAAGAATTCAAACTTACTAACTGAAAGCAAACAAATTATTGCAAATGCACAAGATTATCTTCAGGCTAACAAGTGGAACTGCTCAACCAGTAGTAATGAAATACTTACGGTTATCCTCTTGCCGAAGTTGCGGTGGCTGCGCTTGCTCCGGTACCTTTCGATGCGCTCCCGCCGCTCCTCCGCGCTGTACCTCCCCTGCAGCTGCAGGAAATGGAATGGCGGCGAGCTGATGATGCCATGCCAAGACGAAGACCGGCTCGAATGGTGCATGCTGCTGTTCTCTCTCGATTGATCGATCGATCTCTTTGCTTCAATTCATTACTTGTGTGTCTACTGTTGGCTTTTGGCAAGCTTTTATAGACATATATAAAATGGAAAATGCTAAAACCAGCTGCTTAGTACGTTTCTCGTGAATAATCATGCATGTAGCTGGCTAGTTCAATTGTCACCGAGGTAATAAGTTTAAATCTTGTTTGTTTTTTAGCCACGTACACGTTGCCGAGCTCGAATTCGATAGTCTGTTGCCAGCCCACCATGCATATACTCCTATAAGTATATATGATGAGAGAGAGAGACTAGCTGGCTCCATTTGGCATTACAGGTGTAAGCAGCTAATTAACAGTTGTGCTTGCTAAAACGTACCACATGTTCCATTCTTGTGCAGTTACTGTACAGCTAGTTGTACACACGTCACTGCAAGTAATTACCCCAAACTTCACTGCATATTTGTTGTATTAATTTGAGTTTGTAACGACTCGATCATGCCATAAGATCAACAAGAGCTCCAGGGATGAAAGAGCATGCATGAAATGTAGCATCTCATATATATGTTTGGGAATTGGCTAGTGGGTGTTGGGTGTTGATAAAAAAATTATGAAACTTATTCTTGTTGGAGCATCCGCTATATGTTAGGCTCTTTGGTTTAGTAGGAATGATATTATTCTTGATAAATCACCATCAAAATCTATAGCTCTTTGGTTTAGTAGGAATGATATTATTCTTGATAAATCACCATCAAAATCTTATTTGCAAGTACTTTTCAGGATAACGTATTGGCTCTGGTGTTGGGCTCAAATACAAAGGTGTAAATAAGATATCAAGCTAATTAATGATGCATGTCATAAAATTGAGTCAACGATTATGCAGCTCTTCCCTAACTTTGGGTGGAGGTTCGCAGATAGAATTCAGCAGTTATGGGATCTCTATTTTGTGTTGGTGTCTGTTGGTTTGTGTTTGCTTAATGTTTTGTTACTTTGGTTCTAAACTCACTGTGTGAGTTTGCTTTTGTGTGAATAGCAATTTTTTTACAAACGGACCTCTTAAGTGACAGCCAGCGAAAATCAATTTTCATTGACAACTGCTGAAGAGGTACCAGCGAAAAACATCACCCCACTAAAAAAATTGAAGACATTTAAAACCACCACCTACTGCCACCTAGCTACCTCCTCTCCAGACCCACCCACCGCCTCCTCCTCTCCAGCCACCACCGCTTCCCTCTTCTCCTCCCTCCCGCCCCACCGGTGGCGGCGGGGGTTGTAGTGGCGGTGATGGGGGTCAGCGGTGGGGAGGATAGCGGCTCGGCTGAGCCCGATGAGAAGGGTAACGACTTGATAGGGGAGGAGCTGCGACGACTTCTCCATGGCAGCGTTCGAAGGCGGAGCTGGCAGTGGTGACTCCATTCGATGGCGGATCCACCGCCGCCTAGTCCCAGCTCCCTCTCCCCACTCCTCCCTCCTCCCCTTTCCCCACCGCCACCACCCCCTCTCCCTCTCTCAGATCCGATACGCGGGGAGCGGTGGAGGCTGCGACGGGGCTCGATAGTGGTGGTGACGACCACCACACCGCGAGCCATCTCCTCCTTGAATGACGCTATCAGCCACCGCCTCCATGATGAGCTCTAGGCACGCTGTTGAGGAGAGAGCGGAAGAGATACGAGGGAGAGAGAGCCACGGAGGGAGAAGGGTTGAGGGATCAATTGGATCTGAGCTTATATGTTGAGAGAGCGGAAGAGAGATGAGGAAGAGGAAGTAGCACGCTACTTGGTGACTTACATGGAGGTGATGTCAGTGTTGGACCTCCTTTTAGTGATGTCGACTGTTTTTGCAGGCAGCCCTGTTAGGTGACCGTCTATGAAAATTCGATTTTCGCGGGTTGTCACCTAAGAGAAGCACCTGCATAAACTAATTTTCACACGCGATCCTTCTTAGATATATTTTTTTTTTTGCATATTATGCGTTAGACCACAGGAGCTTCTCATTATCTTTACAAGTGAAATTTTAATGACCCACTTGTTAAATAAAACATGGTGTTTGCGAAAATCGTTTTTTAAGTGAAAATATACTGACATGTGGAGGGTCATTAATATCAATTTATATGGGTTCATTAATTTTCAATACCAGATAGGCTTAAACCACCTCTATATTGACTGAGGGTGTAAATTGAACCGTTTTGCGAGTCAGGGGTAAAATATCTATGGAGTAGATAGCAGAGTAAATTGAACCGTTTTAAGAGGTAGGAGTAGGTAGCAGAGTAGCAGTGATGATTGAATGGATCGATCAGTGGCCGCGGGGTGAGTAGAGATCGATGGAGGAGACGCCGAGGTAGGCGGCTAGCAGGTCATCGTCGGCGGTGTCGCAGAGATGGAGGCCAGCCGCCTCCTGCTCCTGCCTGGCCAGCGCCTCCTGCACTGCCGGCCACCACTCCGGCACATTATTATTCGTCGCCGGCGACACCTCGACTTGAGCTGCAGCAGCAGCAGCAGCGTCGTCGGAGGAGTTACGGGCGAAGCGGCCCTTCACCCTCGGCCGGCTGTCCGCGAGCGTCTTCCGGCAAGCGTACTGCAATTAATTAAAGCAACCATGCACATTAATTAGCTAAGTAATGAGAGAGAAGGATCTGTGTTAATTGATGATTAAAATGAAAGAGTTACGGTGATCTTCTTGTCGAAATTGCGTTGATTGCGCTTGCTCCGGTACTTGTCAATGCGCTCCCGCCGCTCCTCCTCCACCAGGCCTCCTCCGGTGCTCAACACCCGGCGGAGCGACGACGACGAAGATGATGATGAGCTCCAGCCCTGATGATGATACATTGTGGTAGTTAGTCCAGGTACGTACGTGAAGGTAGATACATTGATCAGGCCATTTATATATGGCCGCCTTGGCCTCCACTTCCACTGCCACTATAGCTTCTCTTCAATTTGATCTGATCTCTTCAAAGGAGTCAACTCTTAATTTTGGTTAAGCCCTGATTTGACATGAGCTGCTCCACTTTGTGATAGGGTATGATTTGATGATCGTGCATGTATATAGCATATCCCTGTATTTCCTTGCAATGTTGAGAAGGAAGCTGGCATGTCAAAGGTATGCAGGCTAGTAAGGTACTAGTACAAGCATCAAAACGACTGATAGCCACCACTGCCACTAGCATACTCCTACATGACAGACAGAATGGAAGCTCGCTGTTGCGCACAACACATACATCAGCCCAACAGCAACTAATCAATACAAGTTTTCTCGTAAAGAGAATCTATCTCATCAATCGATTAGTATAAAAAGTGCCACAATCAACAAGCTACCCGGCAATCTCAACACCAACACTACGGCCAAGGCAGCCAGTACAGACCATTCAAGGAGACATGGACAAGTTGGGTATATCTCCTACCTCTTCCACTCACATCCTTCAACCATGCATATTCCCTGCTGTACACCAGGGGATATGCCATTGTTCAACACTGGCACTATTGCTCAAATTGCTATTCACCACAAATTAACATCAGGCCCTACCACTTTGCTGCAAGAATCCAAACTCACTATTCTGGGGTTGGATATGCCAATTTGGCTGATTCCAAGGTTTTGTCATCCCTGATCATTAACGATAGGATGCTCGGATACAGTCATAAAGGCAAGGATATGCAAAATTGGATAAATGAAAATAAAGATGCGCAGGAAGCTCACTGAATGCTGATCATGATTAGATACAAGTATAAAAGACGGTCCTCGATAAGATTCTCCCTCCAAAGTCCGCAGCAATCCTATGGTAAGCTTTTTCAAAAGTGACATCTCCCAAGATTTTGGTGAGGAACAATCATGTCCCCTTTGAACATTGCAGCCTACAAGATAGAGATCCACAGGAATCTGTGTTGTTTTTCAACCATCTATTGGACAGAAGTTTGCTGCTCTAGATCCAGGACGCAGTTTTCAATTGGCAATTTGTTGGTGAGGTAACTGGAAGTGTCCTAAATCCACCACAGGTCTGCCTTCTGCTATGGCACAGCTTCTGATTAATCCCTACAGTAGCCCACTTAAGAATCGCGTGTTGAGTTGTTGACTTATCCTGACAACTGAGCTCGACCAACCTCAAGTAGGCCTAGCCAACCCGACAGGATAAAGTCAAAGGGCACCACGGAGTAACCTTGCATATAGATTCATTTTCCTTTCATGTGCAGCAAAATTCTTAAATTGTAAGTTCTTACAGTTGCTATGATTTCCTTTTGGATGTAACCTGCATTGGTTTCAATTAAGAGCACCATCACTATCAGATGAATTAAGCATTGATAATTAGGTGCACAGAAAAAGAAATTACAAGAATCAGTAGATGGGAATTATGAAATTCAAAAGGCGAGAGGGAAAGAGGAAAGGTGGGGGTAAAGATAGTGAAAACAAGTGGGACTATTATGATAGTGTGCAGTTTTTGTAGATATTACTTTTTCTTCTTGTAGGTCAACTCTAAGAATAGTCGCACCACTATAGCATGAGTGGAAAGCAATAATTGTTATGTTGATATGTATAAAGAATTTACAGAATTGAGTAACAGACTAGACAGAAATGCAATTGTACCAAGAATTGGCATTAAGAGACAAAAAGTCAGCAATTTCACTAATTTACTCCTACAGGTATCTTAAGGTACAACACTATTCGTATGTAGTGTGAAGTTAGGAACACCCAATGAGTCAATTCAAATGTCATGATCTTAGGCAAATGAGACCCGACATTGATGAAGGCTGGTAAGACCTCAGTCTAGTGGCATGAATGATATAATTATTTGTTCAGTCTCCACATCTTCATTTGGGTGCATCTGTGGGGGTGAGGCCTTCTATTGCTTTCATGGTCTCTAAAACCTTTTCCATATCAAATCTGAAAGATTGAAACTGCATACTGAATTCATGCTTCTATTTCTTTCGGCATTAAATCAAAAAAAAAAAACCTTGATCAAGGGGGAAGGACGACCCCCTTGACTTAGCTTTTAAGAAGGGGTCCCATCAAAACCTAGCCAGGCAGGAACCTCACCAGCACATGCTCTTGCTAGCCTGGGACCCTCTGCAACTGTAGCACAGGGAGGTGAGCACAAATGTGGCTCCCAGGATGCAATCCCTAGGCGGGTGGCACTTCTACTGGGTGCTCTACCAGCTACACGTTCACCCGCTTCGGCCTTAAATAAAAATTATCTTTATTCTAAACAAGCCACACCAGGTCTACACTGTCTTGAAAACTGCATCCATAAAAATTAGCAGAAGGGAGGGAAAAAGTAGTGAGATCACGAGATTCATATTATGATCCAGATGCCATATTTTCAGCATCATCAGAGCTTTTTTTTCTAAGATTTCGCGTACTAGAATCCAATTTTGTAGGTAACAATAGGGCAGTACCACGTCCATAATCAATACGTGATAAAATATGATTTGTCAGTCCCTGGAACAAAGAACACAGCACATAGTTGTGGTCTCTTGACATGATGAGCAAGGACCAGGTTGCATCGGTCTTGTCGGCTGTGGCTAGGAAATCATGGGAGGGACAGTATAAGGAACAGGGAGACATAATTGTCTGATTAACCTTGTACTTAAGATTAAGCAAACACCACCCTTTGAACACTAAATAAAGGATGACTTAACTGGAACTTTAATGCTACTAATCTGATATGGTCCGGTTAAACTTTTGGTTAAATAAAGGATGCATTCCTCTTGGGCAGGGCTGTCAAATGAGCGTTCAGACTTCACAAGCATTGCGAGCTTGACTCAGACTCAGTGGAGCTGAGCTTGAGCCCAAAACAGGCTCAAGCACTCATTGAGCTAAGCATGCAGTTCGCTCAATAAGTCTTCAATCACATGTTTATACCATAACACTAATATATACTACCTCTGTCCCAAAATATAAGGGATTTTACCCAAGTAATTATATGGGAAAAATCCCTTATTTTTGGACGGAGGTAGTACTGTTTTATAGCCTTGTGATATGCTCATGCATGTGTGTTTAAAGTTGAACTATCCTTACAGAGCTGAACTCAAGCCTATGTATGCTGGAGTACCTAAAACTTTATAGTTATCAAGTCTCATCTAGTCCACCTCGGGCTTATGTAAGCTCAAACCTCAACTTAGGCTTGTTCAACTCTAGATTGGCTCAAGCCTGCAGAGAGCTAGAGCTAAGGTTACCTAGTCTTAGCCAAACCTGACTTTCGAGAGGCCTACCTAAGCAGACTGGCTATGGTTGTAGAACAGCTCCCACGTGACATCATGGCACATTAAACTTATAACTACATGAGTTTGTAATTATCTAAATAAAGAGTATCCTGTCACACAGTTCAAGCAACAATATCTCTATCAATACAATATAAAAAGAAGTCAAGTACCAACTCTTGTTTTTCATTATTCATATCACACTGATAACAGACAAGGAATTCGTGTTTAGCGGTATCCTCAAAAAACCATACCTGATACAGGATTCAGCGTGCACATATGTTAGCAATATCCCTCATGACTCAACATAATCTATAATCTGGTATAAAAAAACGAACAGGCTTCTTACCTTGGATGCTTTCTTCTTAAAGGACACAGACTTGAGGAAGCCCAAGAAAGGAACATAAATCGGATGTTGCGACCTTAATTTTTTGGTTCGCTTTTCTGCAAAACCAACAAAACTTCAGATATGCTTAAAAGATATGCATAAATCTCAATTTTCTTTGATTGTCTTCATACTAAAATCAATGCTCAATACTTCTAATATAAACTAATACATGTTAAGCTAAGTTCAAACACAATGAAACAATAGATCCCTTAAATTGATCTTCCTCAAAACCTAGTGAATCATTTCACTGTTGACTTGATACTAGCTGCAAGCATGAAAGGACATGACAGAGAACAAAATAGCCTTCATAATTAGAAAAATCTCAAGAATAGTCACCAGTAAACACAAAAGGTTACAAATTCAAACTGTTTAACAATGCCTACTTCATATCTTACCTGATCTAGTTAGGGATATCTCCACCTCACCACTAGCATAAGAATAGTTTAGTAGTTGTTCATGTATTTTAGCAACATCTCCCTCCAGAGAGTTTGAGTTTTGCTTTGCCAACTCATCAGTTTTACTGGTTGTATCAATGGATCCTTTATCATAAAGAAAAGCAGTCAAGGCAGTCTCTGGACCACAGGGAGTATGTTCCACTAAAATAGTTGCTCCTCTGTCAACTGGCTCTACTTCATCGCTTATAACTTGCGGTGGCATCATAACATCCTTGCATGAATTACAGTGCAATTGAGCTGCAAGATCTGGTGGCGCCTCATCATCTTTCCCACATGGAGGCAACTCTAGCGGTTCTGCAAAATCTTTGTGAGTCTCAGAAAAAACTGAGATGTCACTGTAAGAGTAGAGGTCCTTATTCTTAGAGTAAATACTGGAACCAGAAAGAATGTCATGATCCTGTGATATCCTATCAACCCTCTCACAGGAGGTCAACCCAGAGTCACATTCTGTACAAGCTTTAGCATAATCTGGGAAGCCAGTAGACTGGTGAGGGCACTTATTCACGACACTCGTGTCAGAAAGTTCCATACTACATGGAATAGCATAACACACCAAGCTATCATCAGAAGATAAGGGAGCGGTAAAATCTGCAATGAGGTTCATTTTACTTGACTCTGTACCATCTAGTTCCATAGCATCATGCAGAGATTCAACATGTTTCTCAATGCCTTTCAGATCAAAGGAAGAGACAGCAGCAGTCTGCACATCATGAGCCATAACAGTTTCATTGTTTCCAGGATTATCCAAATTGGTAGCAACACTATGCTGCTCACAAGATGCTGGCAAGGTAGACAATACACAAGTCATAAGACTTTCACCTCTGCTAACTTGCACAGGCCCTTCTTGAGTTTCAACTGGGAATATGATTTCGTTGCCATGGCTTAACTGCTCTTGCTGCTCGACAAAGAGGGACTCATCACCATCATAAGGTACATGACTTGATGCTTCGGTGAGAGCATTTATGGGTAAATACAGTAGTTCATCTTTATTGGCAGAAGGTTCTGGATTTATATCAAGAGATTGCGGTTCTCCTTTGTAAGATAGCAATTCATATTTGTCGGAAGAAGGTTCTGGATTAACGTCCAAAGATAGCAGATCTACTTCATGAGGCATAGGATCCCAACCAATCCAGTCAGCAAGCTTGAAGTTTGCTGAATTCAACTGCTTATTTGGTAACAGCCTGTCGATTCTAATGGTTTTCTTGTAGAAGTGCTTTTTCCTCAGAGCCTTGGAAATCAGTGACCTGAGAATGAACAAATGGCTTAGAATACATGGCACAGCATCATGATTCAGACTAAACTGCCTAGCTTTCTAAAATAAGCTCCGGATATCATATAAGAGATGTGCAAGTGACCTGCAGTTGACGGATAGAGCAGCTTTGGCTCGTTGGGTAGAAAGGCCAAGCAAATAAGAAGATAAATTTATGGCATCATAGGGTCCTCTAATTTCAGAAGCAGTGTGAGCAGCACTTGAGATGATGAGATTCTTTCCTTTAGTCCACTCCACCAAGAGCTGAAAAAAGATGAAAAGGCTTTGGTTACTAAGGAACTAAGTATTAGTGTTACGATATAGAGAGATATATGAAGATAATAAGGAAGAGCAAGAGATGGCCAACCTTGGCTTCGGCTACGGCCTGTCTCCTTGAAGCAGCATCGGCGATGAGGGGAGAATAGGCGATCTCCAAGTGCAGGCCCCTCTGCAGCGCAAGCTTGAGCATGGGGAGCTTGAGGCGAAAGGGCAGCTTGTGGGAGAAGTCGATGGAGACGATATCAAGGTGGTCAAATGTGGCATGACAGAGGTGGTCGAAGGCGGCTTGCGTGAGCGGCCGCGCAGCGACGATGTCATAGGTGCGAAGGAGGCGGGCGGCGGAGGGGGCTAGGGCAGAGGCGCAGGCGGCGGCGGAGTCGAGGGAGAGGGTGATGCGCGTGTACTGTAGGAAGGGATGTCGGCGGTGGTGGAGGGAGGCAGAGGGCGGCAGCAGGAGAGAGGAGGCAATGGGTGCATGGGAGTCAGCGAGGAGGCCACGGTGAGGGTGATCGAGTGCGACGGCGGAGTAGCCGAGGTCAAGGGCACGGGCGATTATGCTAGTGTTGGTGGTGGTAGATTTGGAGTCGTCGGGGAGGATGCTGAGGTCGAAGAAGCCGGCAAGTGCCATGGCAGACAGTGGTGTAGCTAGGAATTTTTCCTTGGGAAGTCCTACTTCAAAATTGCAGGTTAATACAACATACCAAAATTTTATAAAAAAGTTCAAAGTTAGTGATAGGGCGATACAAAATTAGAAATATAACAATATAACAATAGTGTTATAACAACAATAGTCGGCTAACTTAATAAGCAAGTTAAAATATGCAAATATTACAGATGTTTTCTCCCATCCTTGGAGAGGTATATACCTCCTCGTATTTGAGATATACCTATCCATAAAAGGAGTTACCAAAATTAATCTTACATGTTGGAATAGGATTGGAAACTTATCTTTATAGAAATTTGTGACATTTTCCTACATTTTTTATAGGTATAGATATTTGTGCTAATTAAGAAGAGGTATATACCTCCGGACTAACACTATGAGGTATATATACCTTTATATACCCCACAACAACTAGAATAGTCTCGTCGGTGCTAATCATAAACTTAGTTTTCTAACCAGTTAAACAGGTTTAATTTTTACCTCTCAAATTATGAGGTATATACCTCTCCAAGGATGGAAGAAAACATCAGTACTACAATATAGATAGTTCAAATACATAAGATCTTACAAATAAATAGAAAACTACAATGTCATTGCTTCAGTATACGCTTACGTATTGTTAGCCATGATGTCACAAACTTTGGAGAAGAAGTCACAAATCACAGTTCATAGTTCTAATTCACCAATTGGCACTACCATCTTCACAGTTCATAGCAAGTCAGCAGAACATTCACTGATTCACTTGTTCAAAAATCAAAGTTGATAGAAATATAGATTCATTTGATTTCATAGTTCTAATTCACCCATTAGCAGTTAGCACTTCACCTCACATAGCCGGAAGGGGCGGCACATTCACTAATTCACTTGTTCAGGAATCATAGTGGATAGAAATATAGATCCATTTGATGTCATAGTTGTAATTCACCAATTAGCACTTGACCTCACATGAGCATAGGTCGGCAGGGGCAGGGGCAGGGAGCAGTGGCGGGCCCAGCTTTTTTAACTTGTGTATTCGAAATGGGAAGAGGAAAAAAAATTTGTTCATACACCTAAAAGCCTAAAAATTAGCTTGTATAGTATAACACACTAATAATTATAATATATAGTGTATATAACATAAAATTGGTAAACATATCAAAATGCCAACATCTCAAACATATGGAATACAAAAATGATAGGAATTGATAAATTGGGAAGAAATCTTACAATTTAGAGATTAACTTTTCGACGCTTGATATTTTGAAAATAAGCGATGATGTCCTTGTCCTTGGCTTGCAAAAAGAATTCCCTTTCAATGAATGTAACTAGACAATCATTCAAATATTTTTGCCCCATCTAGACCAGTAGACCACTACTCAATTACTCAAATACTCAACTAGGCAACTACAATTCTACAAACTAAGCAAGCAAGCAACTATACTAAATCACTGAATTGTACTAGTTCCCAATCCATTTCACCAAACAACAGTCAATAGGAAGCTGGGGAATAGGGGAAGGAGGACGAACCGGACTACCGGAGCTCCTCGCGGTCGTCGACGGTGAAGGAGGCCAGGAGCCCAGGAGGGGCTCGGCTGCAGGCTGCTCGCCTCCTCCTGCCGCCGATGCGACCGCGCACCCCGCAGCCGGCAGCCGCCGCACACGCCAACGCCGGCAGCCGGCCGTGCGGTGCCGCCCGAGGCCCCGAGCCGCCGACGCGCCGCTGGCCGCCGCTCAGCCGCTGCCTGCCGGCCTGTCCCGCGGCTCGCCGCGACGCCGCTGACGCGGACGCCGGGACGCGCCACCTCCCTGCTGGCTGCTGCAGCCGCCAAGCTGCGCCCGCGCCCCCGCCCAGTCGCCGGCTTGCCGCCGCCCGCCGCCGCACACGCCGGTCGCCGCGAATCGGCCGCCCTCCGCCAGTCCGCCGCCGCTCCAACGCCCTCACTGCACAGTCTAGGGTTTGGGGAATGGGGATGTGCCGGCTGTTGGGCCGTCGGGGAGCGAAAAATGGGAATTGGGCTGAGTTAAGGCCCAAAATGAGTGTGGGCTGAGAGGCAAGGGGACGGGAGTGGGAAATTTGGGCCCAATATAGGAAAAAATGGTGAAACAAGGCCCAAATGAAATGAATAGTTAAGGCTTCTTCTTTAATTTTTTTTGAATACATATACGAAGTATAGCGAGAATGCTCAACTTCGGCGCGCGGGGGAGGGGGAAAAATTGTCTCCCCCCATCACGTGCGCACCTGGGCTCCACCACATATCCCCTATCCTCACCTACCACTTATCCACACACACAACTCCATTGCAACAAATCACCCACATATTTTAAAAACCTTCTATTAAGTAAATTTGGTTTATTTTTTTTTACACTAAAAATGTTTCACCTAGTGTATTCACAATGTTTCACTATGTATAGATCTAATGTTGCAGTGAACTGAAATACTCCATTATAACAAAAAAACCCAAATATTTTGGAAACCCTCCTATTAAGGGAATTCGGTTTATTTTTTGTTCCATCGAAAAATGTTTCACCTAGTGTACTTATAATGTTTCACTATGTATGGATCAAATGTTGCAGTGAGTGAAACAATTCCGATATACCTGGTGGAACATCGTGCAACATTTAAAAATAATTCAATAATAAGCTAAAAAAAATTTTGTTGGAATATATCCATGTGTGGTCTTGTTTTGAAGATTTAATTGCAACGAATTTAATGGTACAATTGGATAAGTAATTTAAGAGAAAAATCAGTTTAAAATAGTTTTGCACGTAAATCGAGCGCTGACGTCATGCTGACGTCAACGCCCAATTTTTCTCCAAACCAATCAGACGCCCGAGCCGTAGACTCGTTCGAATTATAGAGCATATATACCTATTTTTTGTCCAAAAATCTTGGGTATATATCTAAATACCCCTTGAATCATAGCTGGCCCGCCCCTGGTAAGGAGGCCGGAGGGGAAAATGTTTCACTCGTTTAGATCGGGTGTTGTTTTACCTTATATAAAAACAATGTTTCAGCAAATAGCGAAAGAAACAATCAACTAGGGCGACCAACTATGGCTCTGTTTGTTTCAACTTAAGATTATTGTAATCTAGATTATTAAATTAGATTACTCTAAGCTGGATTATAATAAGGTAACAGAAAATAAGCTACGAGTTGTTTGTTTCTCTAGATTATTAGAGGCATCTAAGGGTAAGGATAGTGGGTCTTTAACCACTCAATAATCTGAAAAAAGCTCCTTTAGAGGAGATTATTGGATTATAGAAATCTGGCTTATAGATTATAATAATCCAGCATAATAATCTACTTGTTTGTTTCAGCATACTTCTAATAATCCAGATTATAATAATCTTAAACTGAATCAAACAGGGCCTATGTTCCTTCCTTCCTTAAAAAAGAAAAGTTGTGTTCCTTCCTTATCAGGGACGGGTCCAGGACTTTGAGGTTGGGTATTCGAAATGGGAAGGAATAAGAAAAAATTACAACCCAAAGCCTAATATTTGAATGAATAGGCCTCTTTTTTATCTTTTTCTATACACATTCTAAATATAGGCTTCATATATATAATCTTTTTTCCAAGATCTTGGATACTCATTTGAGTATCCATGAATCATGGTGGTCCCACCAATGTTCCTTGTGTTCATCAACCAACTCTTTTTATTATCATATACTTTTATCGTAAATAAACCAGAGATACTCTCTCTATTCCATATTAATCATCATATAAGTTTTTTCACCAAGGCTAAAAAAACTAAAATACCATACATATATAAATTATATACTAAAATTCTATTAACATTCCTATAAACGCTCTCAAACTGCCACGTGACGCTCTACAAACACTCCTAAGCCGTCATGTGGTGCTCTAATAAATTAGAAGCAAAAAGAAAAATAGCTCGCCATTGGTTTTCGCTTAAATCAGTAGACCCATTATTTTTAACTATTAGATTAATTTTTAAGGAATACTAGCTAGATAACTCAAACCAACTGGTGGGCCTATTAGATCTATCTCAAAAAAGATTGCTCCCTTCCCTTCTACCTTACATGCCAATGTAACGTACATACATATGTATTCCCTGCTCTCTCCTTTTCTCCTATTTTCTAACAACTTATTATAAAATAATATAAATTTTAAATGGCTAAATAATCATGATTCTCAATTTATATACAGCATTAAATTCGTTTGTATTGTTTTTATTTGTAATTAAATAAATACTTCAAGACCTGTATTGCGTATATTTTGCTAGGTAAAAAAACTAAAATACTAGCGTGGCAGTCGAAAAACACTATAAAGAAAATTGACTAATTATGCCATCTTAAATCATTCCACGTATCTCTACTATTATAAAAATTGAATATGTTTTTACCGATATTTTGGTACGTCATCCGTGTATGAGTCGGGTTTTAAGTTCGTTTGCTTTTAGAAATACATATCCGTATTAGAGTCGGTTTTTAAGAACGTTCACTTTTGGTAATACAGAAGGATTTTCTAAATATCTACTCCCTCCATACTCATAAAGGAAGTCGTTTAGGACAATGTTTAAGTCAAACCTTCGGAATATAAATCATGAATAACTCTCAAATTGTTGAGTTTGAATATGTAAAATTTATATGAATAGGTTTGTCTTGAAAAATAATTTCATAAAAGTATACATATATCACTTTTCAATAAATATTTTTATAGAAACAAGAAGTCAAAGTGGTGTTTTGGAGACCGTGTCGCTGTCCAAAATGACTTCCTTTACGAGTACGAAGGAAGTATATATCCAAGCGAACTCCCACAGTGAATTTTATCTTACTTAAATCATATAACAATAATAACATTAAAATAGACATCACCCGTTGCAACGCATGGGTATTTTTTCTAGTAATTATAAATATGTACGTTAAATATCCTCTGGGGTGCAAGCCATCACCCATCACATCTTAAAAATTAAGAAATGTACTTGAAATTCTATGAAAAAACAAAACATCTCATTTTGCACTTCAATCGATAGACCTGTTATTTTCAGTCATTGGATCTATCATTCTACACTCATAAGCTGCTATGTATCACATCTTAAAAATGAATAAAACTCATGGAAATTCTAAAAGAATGAAATATCCGACCTCATTAAAACCATTATTTCAGCCCCTAGATATATATTTAAAAACAAACTACAAAAAACAAAGTAACATCCCGCTCCCCGTCCCCCTCCCCCTCACATGGATTAACAAGGCACCATCTTTGCAAAGCCGGTTAAACATTCTCTGCTTCAAAAGAACAAATGATAAGATGAATTAGCATCATGAAAGTAACATGACCAGAAATGAAATCTACAAGACTACAACCACAGCCATAATATACTGCCATTCTCCCGTGATTTTAACCAACAATCAAGCAATCAATCCTTAGAAAAATGAACCAAATCCGAGGGAGAAATTCATGTCATTATCTGAACAATTTCAGCACAATATGAAATTGTCATTATCTGAACTTGGATATATATCTATTTATCTAAGACAAAACAACAGGACAGTGACAACTACCTGAATAACCAAAGTTCTCTACTTCTGGTGAGGTGTGTGCTTTCAAATATTTGCACATACACCGTTGGAAAGTGCATAATTATCCAGAAAATATAGTTAGTATATATAAAGATTATGATACATAGTATTGAGTGAAAAGATTAAAGTGATAATGTATGGACCAAGAGTTGTATTGAGTGAAAAGATTAAAGTGATAATGTATGGACCAATAATTTTTTAGATTGAAGTGATATGGTCTTATGATGAACTTTCAGTGGTATATAGGGGATATTTTTTTTATAACAAGTAACATATATAGGGGATTTAATTTTCTCTTTTCATTTTCTTCCATGTCGAGTACATATGTATTTATTCATGTTCGAAGTCTGAACTATCACACAGGTCGAAACTAGGGTTTGGGATACCTTCCACAGAAATCTAGAAAACCATGCACACTGCCGCCGTCGCCGTGCTGCGTCACCCCCGCTGCTGTGCGCCATGCTGCCGCCGAAAGCCGCGGCACCGCCCCAACTGCCGTGTCGAGAGGAGGGAGGGAGCAGCCTCGCGCCAATTTCTCTCGCCTCTCCTTTTGCTCTCTCCTCCCGAAGGGCTGTGCCACTACAGGTGGGGAGAATGGATTGTGCCAGTTCGGTTCGGTTGCCTCCCAATCCCAGTGGTACCAAAGTATAGATGGCCAAATGGGCCGCCCAGCACGGCCCGACCTACACGCCGAACCGTGCTGTGCGAACCCACAGTCTGCACACATGGCCCAGTAAGACTCGGTCCGTGCCGGGCCGGCCGGAAGTCACGACAGTTTATTGTGCTTCTCCACATAATAAGTTTATGTATCCTCCCTAAACTTTGTGGGCTGTGTCCATATGGCTGGAAAGTAAGTCTATTTTGTACTCCTCTTGTCTCTGGGCTTTGTCTTATATGGTTAATTAACTCTACTTTTACGTCCCTATACTATTTTTTCCGATCGTGCCGTGCCGGGCTGGCCCACCATGCCGAGGGAGTGGCCCAAGCACAGCCCGGCTGTCGGGCCGGGTCGGCACGAGCACGACCCCAGAGGTGAAATGCAGCCTAACAGAGGTGGTCGAAGGTGGCCTGGTGAGCGGGCGCGCGGGGACGATGTCATAGCACTGTTGGGGATACCCTCTTTAGTCCTGGTTTGCAACCCCTTTAGTCCCAGGTTGCAAACCAGGATGCCCAATCTGGGACTAAAGATTCCCAGTTAAAATAACCAGAACTCACCAACGCCGAACTAAAGGTATTTCTCTTTTTTTTCATTGTTTTTTCTACTTGCATATTGATTTCGAGCCAAACTCACTAACGCCCCCACATTGAGTTGCTCCCGACATCGATCCCCAAATCTCCACATCAATTTGACATCACAAATCGAAAAAACATACTCAACAACAAAATCATACACAAATTTACAAATCAATTGCATGAACATACTCAACAACAAAATCATCCACAAATTCACAAATCATCTAAAAAATCACAAATCATCATAGATCTACCCGACGTCGCTCCACATCATTGCCGCCTCCAGTTCCCGCCGCCTCATGCACCACCACCTGCCGCCTCCCCTCCTGCCCCATGGTTGAGGTGGTCGATGGTGAGGCGGGTGCCCCATGGGTCAACGAAGAAACGGTGGTACCTCTCTAGCGTCAAGGGCCCTCCCTGCATCTCCCTCCCTCGCAACCTCGGTGCCACGGTAGGTTCTTCCGCTCTGTTTCTCTCCTCTCCTTCTCCTCTTCTCTCCTCTTCTCCTCCCGATGTAACTCTGCTTTACCTCTAGTCTCATCTTGTTTCTTTCCACTACCTTTGCTCTGCTTAGCGCTGCACAAGAGAACCAGGGGGAGGGAGAGGAGTGGGGAGGGCGAAGAAGATTGGACGAGGAGGCCGTGCGACGCTATAATTAAGGGTGTGACGTGTGCGTCTCTCCCTTCTCTGTGCACAATCTTTAGTCCCGGTTGGCATAAACAACCGAGACTAAAGTGTTTATCTTTAGTCCCGGTCGGGGACTAAAGATCCTCGGTAGCCTGACACCTCCTAACAACAATTGAACCGGGACTAAAAATGATCTTTAGTCCCGGTTGGTGAAGATCATAAAGTGGCGTTGGGCTTTTGAACCGAGCCTAAAGATATTCTTTAGTTCTGGTTTAAATGGTTCTTATTAGAATCAGGACAAATGTGATTTTTGCCATCGGGGCACAGATCAGTTCTCCAGTAGTGTAGATGCGAAGGAGGCAGGAGGTGGAGGGGGCGAGGGCAAAGGCGGAGTCAAGGGAGAGGGTGATGCGTGTGTAGTGTCGGCGAGGGTGGAGGGAGGCGGAGGCAATGGGTACATGAGAATCATCAACAAGGAGGCCACGTTGAGGGTGATCACGAGCATGATGCCGGAGTAGCTGAGGTCGAAAGCGCAGGCGATTGCGCTAGTGTTGGTAGGTTTGGAGTTGTTGGCGGGCAGGGAGGGGGGAGAGGGGAGGATGCTGAGGTCGAAGAAGAAGCTGGCGGGCGCCATGGTGGACAGTGGCGGCCGGAGGGATTCCATTAGATATGTACTCCCTCCGGTTCCATATTAATTGGCGTTTTGGACAAGATTGAGGTCAAACTTTTATAATTTAGACTATTAATAACTTTAAAAATATTTAGTTTAAAGGAACTAGAACAACATATATAGATTTGTCTTTTAAAGTACTATAATAAAAATAAATATGTATTTATTTATTATATATATTATAATAGAAAAATAAGGTAAAAGATGTATCTTGTAAACCGTGTCATTGTCCAAAACGTCAATTAAAATGAAACCGGAGAGAGTATATAGGCAGTGGGTAGAGAAGCCCTTGGGCCTTTCCCTATATGGACAAAGTCCACCTTGACTCCCTCAATGAACTCGAGATGGAAAGTTGACTCTTTCCTCCCGATAACAGCCATCAGGCCTAAGCTTGTAATGAAAATGAGTCCTATGCCTACTCTGTTATTACTAGTTTGTGTGTATGTTGTAATGAAATTTAGGGCAACCAACTGTGTTACTTTCCTTCCTCGTGCTTATCAACCAACTCAACTCTTTCATTCATCATACTGTGTAATATATTTTTGTCGTAAATAAACAAGAATTAGTAATTAAGAAAGAAAAAAAAACACCAAGTAGCAGCATCGGAAAGAATGATCCTTCGCTGATTGTTTGTTAGGTTGTGTACGTTCTTGCCGTTGCCGGCCACATAGGAAAATAAAATTCTTGAGCTTGACCCGATCAAACAACAAGACCAAGATAACAAGAGGGGCTACTTGCAAGAAACAAATTTGCTGACTGCAAACACGCTTGCTAGCGAGGGAGTACCTGTCTATCTCGAGTCGAGTATATAGCTCTGGTAGCCGCCACAACAACGGAGCAGATGATGAGTCGATTGATCGGCGATATGCAGCGCCACCGCCGCACGCTGTCCACCACCGTCGTCGAGGAAACCATCGCCGCTGCGGCCACGCTGGTTTCCAAGTGGCATCCTGATGACCACCACTCCTCTCTCTTCCTCCATGCCTCCTCCCCGGAGGCCGACCACTTCCTCCGCGCCGCCGCCGACCTCCACCGAGCCATGCTCTTCTTCGCCTCCGACCCCACCAACGCCCACAACGGCCACGGCCTCGTCCAGGCCCATCATCTCCTCGACACGGCCATGCGGAGGCTTCAGCTCGAGCTCCCACGACTCCTCGCACCACCACCTGCAGGCAGTCGGGACCGCCTCCGTGCGCTCGCCGACACCATGATGTCCGCCGGCTATGGCAAGGAGTGCATCTCCACCTTCAAGGAGCATCGCCGCGCAGCGCTGGCCGCCACGCTCCGCCGCCAACACACCACCGTGCAGGTGCAGCTCAGCAAGCTTACCTGGGAGCAGGTCGACGACAACATACAGTCCTGGCTCGCCGCGGCACGAATCGCCTTCTCGTCCGTCTTCCCCGCGGAGAAGGAGCTCTGCGACACTGTATTCGCCGGTGACGCCTCCGTCGGCGACGCGGTGTTCGAGGACGTGGCCAACAACCAGGCAGCAAATCTCCTGGACGTCGCTGAGGCCGCGGTGGCGCGAGCGCGCCGCGCGCCGGAGCGGCTGTTCCGTGTGCTGGACGTGCACGACGCTCTCACCGAGATCCTGCCCGAAATCATGTCGGTGTTCGGTGACAGGTCAGAGGTGGCGAAGCGTGGCTGCTCTGCTCTGTTCAAAGCCGGTGAGGCGGCGCGGGGAGCGCTGGCCAACTTGGAGGTGGCCATCGAGAAGGAGCCGTCCAAGGCCACGGTGGCCGGCGGCGGAGTGCACCCGCTGACGCGCTACGTGATGAATTACCTCGTCTTCCTGGCCGACTACGAGGGAGCCCTTGACCGCATAAACCAGCAACAGGGATCGCCGGAGAGATCGTGGTCCATCGGTTGGTTGGTGCAGGTCCTGATGCGCAAAATTGAGGCCAAGGCGGGGAGCTACCGAGAGGCGGCGCTGAGGCACCTCTTCATGGCGAACAACACGCACTACGTGGCCAGGAAAGTGGCCAAAATTCCATCTCTCGGGGACGACGACGGTGAAGCCCAAGATGCGGCGCGGCGGCACGTGGAGGCGTACGTGCGCGCGGCGTGGGGCAAGGTGCTCAAGGCAATCGCTGCGGCGGACGGCGTGGAGGTGGAGGAGGCTGTGATGCAGGCGGTGGCGAAGCAGGAGAAGTGGGTGGCGGCAGACGAGGAGATGGGTCAGGTGCTGAGGGCGGCGGCGACAGCGGCGGTGGTACCCAAGTACAGGATGTTGTACCGCCGGCACGGGGCAACGCTGCGGCTGACGCCGGGGGACGTCAACGCCATCATCGCCGCACTCTTCGGCGGGATTATTGCAACGCCTAGCTCATGCTGACTCTTCTTGAGTCTTGTCTTGCATCAGTTAGTTTCTGGAGTAGCGTAGCTAGCAAACTAATTTTGATTTCATATATATGATGATGCATGATTGTGCTCTGTTATTATTACTCCTACTTACCTCATTGTACTAGCTAGTAACATTATTAATATAAGCAGAACGAACCATCATATTTGTACTCCTAATTATATTGTGTACCGCTATAACATTAATTTCCTTGTGGTTGTTGCAATGACGATAACTGTACTACGTAAAGGGGCGTATCCTATGTACACATGCCCTCGCGTGTACACACCGTGTACACCAACTAAAAATTATCAAAAAAATTCTAGAAAAATTCATACACATATACTTCCAATAGTATTACATCTACGTGTAAAGTCGGATCTTCAAATGTATTCTACATAGAGAGTAATAAAAAAGACAAAATTCTGACAGAATTACAACCCTAAAACTATTAGATTTTTTGTTTTTTTGTTACAGCTAAAATATAATGAATTTGAGGTTAAGATTTTATCCTTAGGTATAATACTATTGAAAGTACATGTATGAATTTTTCTAGATTTTTTCGTGATATTTTTTAGTTGGTGTGCACGTGTGTACACGTGAGAGTTTGTGTGCATAGGATATGCTACCCTACGTAACATAATGCTTCGCTTGTTCTCACAATCAGGGTTGAAAATAAGCCTATAGATTGTACTAACTGAATTACTAGCTCCTTTGTGGTTTTCAGTCAACAAGCTAATTAATTAAGCTAGGAGTTTTCTTCCCATTTCAGTTACCAATTCAACCGTCTGAAGCAAAAAAGAAGTAGCAACAGGACTCCTTCATTGTTGGACTCTTAATTATTTCGTTTTGACTACCCAGATTACATTGAATTGTCAACACATCGATTGCTAAATAGTCATATTTTATTCTCTGTATGAGACTGATTCTTAATTGCCGTTACTTAAAAGGAGTTGTAAGGGCATATACAATAATGATTAATAGTAGACTATTAAAGTTCTTAACCAAATAAGTTTACTGACTAACATGAGTCATGAGAGAGAGGGGAAAGAGAGAGAAATTAACATTATTCTTATGTATGAAATGGTTTAAATTCTTAGCATTTATAAAATGAAACTTTGCTAATTCAGGATAGAGAAAAGGAAAGAAAAATAATAAAATTTATTTCGGTGCATTAATTATTAGAGTATTTTGTCCTCTCAACCGTTGTAAGAGAGAATAGTATATATCCAAATAAACTAAGAGTCTATATATATCATAGGCTACCTTTGAACATGCCCTAGTAGTGAATCAAAATCAGTCTCTCGAGATGTTGACTTGTTATCATCTATTAGGATTAAAATAAAATAAAGGTGGGGCTCCACAAGAGCACTATTAGGTTATTTATTAATTACCTCTTCCCAGTGAGCCCGTGAGCCCATCTAGAGAAAAAGAATGGCCCACTTGTGTTTTCCTGTTCTACGGGCCATCAGCCCATAAGCTAACCCTATTTTTTTCCCATTATACATATATTTTATTACACCAAAACGTTTATATAAATATATAATTTTGAGAAGAATCAATTTTCTGAGGAAACTTTGCATACATAAATTTTATAGTTTGTATATATGAATTTGAAACAAACAAAAATGCAATTTGGAATAATGAAACAAACGTGCATGTGTGCTACAAGGCCCAAGGGTCTGGGCTGTCCCCGTTGGATTCGGCATGCTATAGAAAAAAAGGTACTATATAGAGAACTGTCGAAGGTTTTTTAAGGAGAAAACTTTCAAATTTAACGATAGTATAATTACAATATAATTTCACTATAGCTATAATGTAACTCATATATAAGTATTAAAATAATATATGTAACATTATATCTAAATTATATAGAGATGATAATATAGTTACAGTGCAGTCACACAATAGTTACAATGTAGTTACACTGTAGTTGTAACTAGGGTGTAACTGGAGTATAACTAAAATGTAACTCATTTAACTTTTCAAATACATGCAGCAGATCAAGTGACTAGCACGCATGGCTTCCAGGATGGAGACCCTGGGTTCGAGCCCCTGCAAGCACACGCGTACAGATTTTTTTTTCAAATCTCGTGTGGATCGCACGGCCAGAAAATCATCTCGCGCGGATCGTACGGCCAGAAAACTAGACTAGAAAAGAGAGTATGGCCCGAATGGCATGGCCAAAATGGTAAGTCCCACTGGTATAGAACCGGGCATCAAAGTCGTTCGCACATCACTCACCAACACGGTTGATTGCGCATCAGCCATGAAAAAAATCATCTCGCGCGGATCGTACGGCCAGAAAACTAGACTAGAAAAGAGAGTATAGCCCGAATGGCACGGCCAAAAATGGTAAGTCCCACTGATATAGAACCGGGCATCAATATATGGTTCTGAAGCTTTCCTTAATTGTTAAAACCAGTTCACTTTGCATCCCCGTACAGTTTCGACCATGGTTTTATCATACTGTTGTAACATTGCCATAGCATAGACCAGTGATGAGAGGACGCTAGGCATGCAAATCGACATCGGGCCAAGCATATTGATATCGAGGAGGCAGTTGGGCGCTCAGATTGACGCTACCTAAGAAGATTAATCTTGGGGAGACGGCTGGGTACTCAGATTGATACTGAGAGGACCGAGACGGGGCAACACAGAGGGCATTGGAGCCCTTCCTCGTGTAGCTGTGGCCGCTCACATCTCCCTGATTATCATGTGGAGCTTAGGCAACAACTACTCATTCTCCAATGCCAAGCCATGGCAGCCCCCATAACAACGATGAGCGGTCGTTACCGGTTCAGGGTCTAGGATCCCTTCCCCTCTCTCTCTCCATAATCTTTCTCTACCCCGACGGTACCCTCACTAGCCCCCCTCGATACCACCGGCAACCTCGCGCTGCCTTAGCCCTAGAAGAGGCCCATCTGACATGTATGACAAATGGCATTTTTTGTTTGCCTCACTACTGCAGAGGGAGAGAGGAAACAGAACCCTCACTCACATATGGGCCCCACGATCATTTTTTAAATAAAATTGTACCACATTAGCTATGGTGGTCAAGTCAACATGTCACGTCAAATAAAACTGTTGCACAAACTAGCCAAAGAAGTAGATTGATTTGGTTCTAACAGTCACACCCCCAGGGTTTAGTATTTCAGTTGACAAAATTCTAGTGGGGGACAAAATTCTTTTAAGACGCTCATTTGATATACTAGATGAAACCCCATGGGTTGTTGCAAGAGTTTAATATGATAATAGTAGAAATAACGTGTAATATAACTAGATGATGTAAGCTTATAGAATTTGTATTTATGATTGATCATTGGAAAGGCTATAAACCACTTAAGTTGATGTGGTTTATGATAATTTAAATAGTATATAGATTGATATGTAATTCAAAATTGAAAGTAATGTGTGTTGAAATATTGTGTAAATTATGTGGGATGATAATTTAACATGCTTGTATTTTAAAGCTTTAGAATATATTAAAATATAGATGACATAGCATGTTTGCATGAGAATTATGATGTAATAATTGCTAATGGATGATGGTATGGTTTTTTTAATATTTTGAGTTTTAGGATGCAGTTGGTTAGATATATAGATGGCCATATGGCCCGAGGCCCACGGCCCGGCACGAAGCCCGCAATTTTGGCCCGGCCCAAGCACGGCCCGGCCCGACTAGGGTCGTGCCCGTGCCGGCCCGGCCCGACAGCCGGGCCGTGCCTGGGCTGCACCCTCGGCACGGTGGGCCGGCCCGGCACGGCCCGATCAAATAAAAAAAATATAGGGACAAAAAATAGACTTATATAATCGTATAAGGCATGGCCCAAGAAAATAGGTATACAAAATAGACTTATTTTCCAGCCATTTAAACACAACCCACAGAGTTGAGGGACCAAAAATAGACTTATTTCCAGCCATTTAAACACAACCCACAGAGTTGAGGGATCAAAAATAGACTTATTTCCAGCCATTTAAACACAGCCCACAGAGTTGAGGGATCAAAAATAGACTCTTTCTGTGAGGCAGCACAATAGCCCATCGTGCCTTCGGGCCGGCCCGGCACGGCCCGACTAGTATTGGGCCATGCCTGGGCCGTGTATGCCGCCCGTGGGCTGGCACGGCACGGCCCGGTGCATCGGTCGGGCCGTGCCGGCCCGACAAGCCTCGGCCCAGGCACCGCCGGGCTTGGGCCGTGCCGTGCCGGGCGGCCCAGATGGCCATCTATGGTTAGATACCTAGCTTTTGACAGCTAGGACCTGGGCCCTGTTTGGTTCCATGGGCTAATTATTAGCCCCTACCTTTTAGCTCTAAATTAGCCCCTAAGGATCCAAACATATGGGCTAATTTGGGGCTAAAGTGAATTAGCCCTCCTCAAAATATTAGCCCCTCCAAGGGGTGCTAATGGGGCTAATTTTTTGTGGGGACCATAAAAAATAGCCATATCTCCCTCTCTCTCTCTCTCTCCTCTCTCTTTACTCTCTCTCCACCTTTTAGCCCTCAATTAGCCTATGGATCCAAGCATATCACCCTAGGCTACTAATTTAAGACTAAACATTAGCTCTTAAAATTAGCCCTGGGCTAATCTTCCAAACAGGGGCACTGGACTAGTTTGACATGTATCTTTCTCTTCTAGCCACAGCCGTGGCTGATCTGTCCGAAGCAATGGGACAAATATATTCAAAGTTCAATCTTGGTCATGGTGCCTTACAAACACTCTAGTGGGGGGTGGCTAGATAGGTTGTTTTCTAATTTTTTCTGTGGTCATGTAACCGTAGCTTCAACGGTTGGAATAACGAGATGTCGATTTGACTTTCTATTGTTGTAGAATTTTTATGAAGATAATACCATGTTAATTATAGAAAAAAATCTAATTTACACTGAACTATTTCATTGGATCACTTAACCCTAAACTATTTTTTGGTTCATTTTATTTCTAAACTATTAATTTTTTTCACTTTACTGGTTAATTATTTTTCTTTTCTTTGTTGCTTAAATGTTGTACAGCCATACATGAGACCATTATCAAAGTTCTAAAATAGTTTGAAAATTTTTCTTAACTATTTGCTTAAAATTTAAAATCTCTATGTTTAAAATGGTCTCAAAGCTTCCAACCTATGTAAACAACGATTAAAAGATTCTAGAAAATGCTGAGAGATAAGTTATAATGC